TGGCAACTGGTCTAGGATGACAACAACACTGAGTTCAAAACCTGCTGAGGGTCCTTTGGGGAGTTTGTGGCGTCATATATATATATATATATATATATATATATATATATACAAAGCCTACGAGCTGTTTGTCTTTGATTTTGTCGATTGCACAGTATAGTTGGGTCAGTTGGGCACCGTCTGTGAGGAAACGAGCTCCATAACACAGTTCACCCCCGCCAGAAATTTGGAAACAGCAACCTTGGCATTCGGATCGGAAGCTCCAATAAGAACATTTCAGAGTTTTTGTGTCTCAATCTAAGGACTCTGAATAACATTCGGAAAGCATTGATGTGACTAATGTTGATTACGAAAGTGTTTGTAATGATCACTAGTGATGACGACATTACACCAACCTTTCATCATCCCACAGGGTCTCAGACTCAACACGGAGACCTACATAGAGTACCCTGAGGACGTAGTGCTACTCTGGGTCAAGAGGGTATCTACTGGAAAATCCTATATCTGGTGCTAGTACTCTGTACCATGCTACACAAGCAAGAGATTCCAATCATGGCTGTCAGACAACTTATAACCGTTACATATCACCCCTTACATTTAACCAACTAACTCCCCAGACTGCGACCCCGCTTGTTTATTGCGGGTGGAGACCAGTTTTAGGTTTTGTTGAATGTACAGTATACTAAGATCATTTTGCACTGTCTGTGAGAAAAAAAGTACCATGATGCAATTCACTCCGTCAGAAATTTGGAAACGGCGTTCTGTACTGCGTGTCATTTGCACTGGAAGTAGCAATATGAATATTTTTGAATGATTGGCTGTCAATTTAAAGACAGTGCAGCGGATTTGGAAAGAGTTGGATGAGTCTAATGGTGATTACGAATGTATGGTAGCTCGGGAAACTCACACTGATAGTTCTGATAAGAAAAAAAAATCTCCCGAATTTGTTGGTGAGGGCCTCAGACTCAACACGGACGCCTACATGAAACGCTATAAGGAGGTAGTGCTACTCTGTGTCAAGAAGGTGTCTGCTGGTAGACTCTATGTCTGGTAACAGGAATCTGCACCATGACACATAAACAAGAGAATCCAGTCATGGCTGTCAGGCAATTTCTGCGACCATATCACCCTTTACATCTGGCTACCTAACTCCTCAGCCTGCAACTCTTAATGAAGCGCTATACTAGACTGGCGGAGAGATCTCATCAATTTACATTTGAACTAGCGACATGTAGCAATAACTTCTATGCTAACAGTTCCTTTTCTCGCACTTATCGCTTGTGGAACTCTCTTCTGACTTTGATCTTCAAAAAATGAAATTCAATAGCTATCGCCTGATAATTCCTTCTCTTTCAGCTTATTCCTAAAGTTTCTGTTCATAATTCCTCCACACCCTGTAACCCCTTGTATCTTAGTGGCTTTACTGCCTTGCATGGGGTGATACCGATTATTATTATTATTATTATTATTAATATATTGACACTGCGACTGACGAAAGAAGTTCTCTACAAAATCCAACATTGAATACAGCGACCAAATGCGTACGTAGGCACGCAACGAGACATGGATGCGCATATACGCCCAGTCCGACACTGTTCATATATGTTTAATGCTTATGTGAGCTGCAACGCGTGAACGTGCGTGTATGTATGTCTGCGTACGTATGAGCGGGCGTTTGGACAACAAGTTTCCCTCTCACTTCCATAAAACCACCGATATAAGCAACCATAAATAAATCCCAAATTTCAAAAAATTAATCAGTTTGTCTGACGATCGCAGAGAGCGTGAAACCCTGGGTCACAAACTCACACATCTAAATATATATATATATATAATATATATATATATATATATATATATATATATATATATATATATATAGGGGGGTACATCTGGGATGCAGTTGAGCTGGAAGAACTTATGTCTAGTAACAGAAGACCCTAAGTCTGGCAACAGGACTCTGCACCATGTCTCACAAGCAGGAGAACCCAATCATAACTCCGCATCTCCCCTTACATCTGGCCACCTAACTCCCGAAACTGCAACTCCCTTCATTATTATGTGTAGGGCACAGTTGAGTGAGGGACCAAAAAATCTCCTTGTAACACCAAAATTGAACTGATGGCAAGGATTATGGCAGTATTCACAAACTTAAACAAGGAGGCCGTCCAGAAGAGTTTCTGGAGACTCTGAAATTATCTGGAGGCCATGGTTGAAGCCAAAGGCGATTTTATTGAATATATTTACTCTTTAGCATTTCAAGATATTTTTATGTAATTTTGGTAAATATATCTGTTAAAATGAGGCGTTAGTGCTGTATTCATTTTTACCTCATTTAGACGACAATTTATCCATCACACACTGTACATCTGTTAAAATGAGGTGTCAGTGTTGTTTTCATTTTTACCTCATTTAGACGACAGTTCATCCATCGCACACTGTATATCTGTCAAAATGAGGCGTCAGTGTTGTTTTCATTTTTACCTCATTTAGACGAAAATTTATCCATCGCATACTGTATATCTGTTAAAATGAGGTGTCAGCGTTATTTTCATTTTTGCCTCATTTTATACGACAATTTATCCTATATTGTAACTGAAATAACAGAAAAGGGACAGGCATTGTCAGGTTATCTTGCCCTAGACCCACCAGTGTTCCTTTAATGGGTTACTGGACTTGTGACATATTGCTGATGTGGTTTAGTTTTTGTTGAAGTGTAGCCATGAGTCAAGAGGGTGCCTGCTGGAAGACCCTATGTCTGGTAACGGAAGACCCTATGTCTGGTAACGGAAGACCCTATGTCTGGTAACGGAAGACCCTATGTCTGGTAACATGATTCTGCACCATGTCACACAAGCAGAAGAACCCAATCATGGCTGTCAGACAATTTCTTCGACCACATCTCCCTTTACATCTGACCACCTAACTCCCCAGACTGCAACCCCTTTTCATTATTGTGTGGAGTGGATTTGAGTGAGAGACCAACAAAACTCCATGTAACACCAAAGATGAAGTGAAGGCAAGGAGTTTAGCAGTATTAACCACCTTAAACAAGCAAACCGTCCATAAGAGTTGCAAGAGATTCAGAAGTCGTCTGGCGGCCTTGGTTGAAGCTAATGTCGTTTTTACTGAATAAATTTACTCCGTAGTATTTCAAGATATTTTTGTGTAGTTTTGGCGAATATATCTTTTAAAATGAGTGTTATTTTCGTTTTTGCCTAAATCAGACAACAGTTTATCCATCGCACCCTGTATTTCTGTTTGTGTGTGCGTGTGTTTGTGTGTGTGTATGTGTTTGTCTGTGACGGAATAGAGAAAAAGAGGGTTTAGTAAAGTCAAGAGGGAAACGAGAAGAGCAAAGTGAGAAAAAGAGAAATCGATTTCTAGTTGAATGAATGGGACATAAAATAAAATATTTTTATGCTTTCATATTTTTTTTCTCAACGGACGTCAATATGTCCATGTTTGCATCTCTGTTTTCCTATCTTACGCTATATAGTCAAGGCTGACACTGAAGGTAACAGCCGTTTCCCTGCTACGAGAGGATCAGGTTAGTGACTGATGCATGAATACGTTGTCTCATTGCAAATTCATTGCTCTCTTTTATGTGAAAGGTTTTCACGACATTCCAGTCACGAGGTATATTTGAGAAAATATTTGACAACATAAAAAAAACGTAGAGAGAAAAGTAGACTGTTTATTTGCATAAAAGAAATAGAAATTGTTTCGACCAAAATGCAAACGTCTGTTGCTTACTCAGTTTCACAGGTTGGTCGTCTCGTTCTTTACTTACGAGGTGACTTTTTTTTTCTTTTCATCCCATCCTTTCTTTATCAAGATAGATAGATAGATAGATATGAACAGATAGATAGATAGATAGATAGATAGATAGATAGATAGATAGATAGATAGATAACAGTCTGAGATCGATAGACATGAGCAGGCTTAGATAGATAGATAGATAGATAGATAGATAGATAGATAATGGGCAGGCTTAGATAGATAGATAGATAGATAGATAGATAGATAGATAGATAGATAGATAGATAACAGTCTAAAATCGATACACATGATCAGGCTTAGCTAGCTAGCAAGTTAGCTAGCTAGATACATACATACATACATATATACTTGCATACATTTGAACAATTAAACAGATCGATAGGTAGACAGTTTTTTGGAATTGTTTTAGAAACATCTTAACGGTTCTACATTGTTGTTCTTGTCAGTTTGTTATTATTCTAAGCGTTCACTTATTTAATAGCTTAGCGTCAATCTTATTTGCATTTTGGACATTACGTCGCCTGATGGTCGACCATTTTTACTTTGTCTCTTTGCAGTTGTCTTTCTAAATGACGCCAAGCTCTGTTTTCCCAACTGCTTATTTCAATAAACCTTTCCATCAACAAACCGTTTCAACAATGAAGCTCTGCGGCAAATTAAATAAGATATGCTTAAACGAAGCAATCACTTCATAATCGGGAAATTTGAAAATGTATAGCTTTACGCATGCGTGATCCGCAAACCAATCAGAGCAGCGCTTGTCTTTTTTAAAAATCTGTCCTCTTTTTTCTTTTTTTTTTCTTTCATATAAGATTTACTCATTAAAAACAAGAACAATATGGAATTCATGTACACTCTATGTTCGGAAAAGTCTAACCTCACAATTGCCTAGTGAGCGACGTCAGTCACTGATAAGTAACAAAATTTAATATCGTTATGTCATCAGTCTTGTGACCCATTAGAATCGTAAGAAACTTTAAGTACTGTAGCTATCTCCAAAGGAAATACACAGACCATTAAAAATGGCTGACAAGGCTTGCAGAAATAGATGTCTAGCTTTTAAGATTTTAAGGTTTCACTGTTTTTCGGATGTATCGCCATCAGTTGACTGTACCAACGAAGATTTAGGACATCAATATGAGAACAATAAATTCTTTTCTCTAAATGTTCACCTAATAAAAGCCACTCAAGCGTATAGGGTTACTAAATGATGTTGCTTAAGATAGATAGATAGATAGATAGATAGATAGATAGATAGATAGATAGATAGATATGAACAGATAGATAGATAGATAGATAGATAGATAGATAGATAGATAGATAGGATAGGACAGAATATTTCGTTTATATTCCTCATCGGGCTACAAAATATAATTCCATCAAAAATAAAATCACTTTTTCTGATGATATCAGAACGTATATTTTTAAAGATTTAGGCATTCAGTTAACAAAGATAGATAAATAAGGGGCAACTTAGACACAGATATCTGTGTGTGTGTCTGTGTGAGTATAGATAGATAGATAGATAAGAGCCAGTTTAGACAGATGTATATGTGTGTTTATATATACATATATAAATGTATATATATATATATATATGTGTGTGTGTGTGTGTGTGTGTGCGTATATATATATATATATATATATATATATATACATATATATATATATATATATACAGATAGATAGATAGATAGATAGATAGATAGATATGTGATAACATTTCGTTTATATTCCACATATTTTATAATTGCATCAGTAAGGTTATCAGATTTTTCTCATTAATTCTTTTCAAGGTCCATTTTGTCATTCACTTACGCAAAATAGATAGATATGAACAGAATAAAATAGATAGATAGATAGATAGATAGATAGATAGATAGATAGATAGATAGATATATTGCAACAGATTTAGATTGTAACAGGTGGATATGAACATCTTCACATTGAGAAAGAGAGATGAACAGACTGAGCTAGCTAGCTAGCTAGATAGATAAAAAGACAGACACATATATATATATATATATATATATATATATATATATATATATATATATAGAGAGAGAGAGAGAGAGAGAGAGAGAGAGAGAGAGAATATTTACTTTACCCATCGCCCTACAATATATAATTCCATCAATAATAACATCACTTTTCTGTTGATGTCCTTATATAGGGATTAGGTATTATGTAACGTATTACATAGAATATTTTTATTGATTTAGGCACACACACAAACACACACATAGAGAGAGAGAGAAAGAGAGGGACAGAGACAGACAGACAGACAGACACACTGGTAGATAGATAAATAAAGTATATTGAATAGTCTTCTTTTTAAGACACTTTTATATAGTTCGCGTTTAAGTTTCTATATTTACATGAGACGTATTCCTTTTAATACAAATAGATCCCTACAACGTTGGTAGGCTTACAAGCGAGAATTCTTGACCCAAATAAAACTCAATCATAAAAAAATGAAGCACACAAATTTCTAAAAGCAAATGAGACAAATATTAAGTGATATGTAGTTTCTTTCTTCTTAATTCTCCTTCAAACAACTGATGAAAAATCTAAGAAAAAAGCTCGTGAGAAACGTTAAAGAAAAAAACACTCAAGAGGAATAAAGAACAAATGCATCAGAAAGGCAAAGATGTAAAGATGGCGACCGAATCTGGGCTTCATAACTATTAAAGCTGACCAGCAAATCAAATTATGCCAAATGCTTATTTAATGATATCAGCAGTTGAAAGGGTACGAAATGAAAATTCGTTTGATGTATGCTTTTTGTTATATTTTAATTTACTATTTTTTGTCCTTACTTTCAAGAATTTTTCGATCATTAAAAAGCGCAGTAAATATGAGAGATAAAGGGAGATAACTGAGACTTTTTAAAAAAAAAAAAAATGACGTAATAAATATACTAGTGACAATGTTGATTTTATTCAATTTCAACGTGTGGCGCTGTGAAAATAAACTTTGTGCAAAGTAACTGAAACACAAGAAATAATTTCGTTATCATTTACATATTTTTCGAAATGAAACGTGACCCAGTGTACATGTAATTACTCCGTATGTCCATTCCACGCAGTCTTGCCTAGAATATTGACCAGATTCTCGATTGGGTTTAAATCAGGAGTGTTTCCGAGCCAGTCTATAGTACTTTGATTTGCTCACTGGTAAGGCTTGCCAGTGTGTTCGTGCAGTGTTATAATTTTCGTACGCTTCCTTGGACTAACCTTTATCGCAAACAGTGGCTGTGGGACAACTAATCGACTGTCGAGACAATAGTTTCTGGGCATGATAAAAATCTGATGCCATCATGGATAACACAACATTTTTCAAGGCCAAACAAATTTCATCATACACCACGAAAATAGATTTATATTGCTGCACGCCACTGCAAATGACCTAATCTGAAGAAAAAATAGAACTCGATTACGTCCTGTCTAGCGGTTCTAAAACTAAAAGTATGGTGACAGGAAGGAAACTAAAGGGGTTGTTTCAATTAATTTGCACAAGGGTGTATCTGTATTCCTGTCCGTCTTCTGATATCAGTTACAGACATTCCGCCCTTTGTTAGAAACCTATCGAGAATCGATGTATTTGTTTTTTAATCATTTCACCCCAAGCAAGGCAATAAAGCCACTAAGACACAATAGGTTACTTATTCTTACGGAAGAAAAACACTATTAAGGAGAAGGAACAATAAAAGAACAAGAATTAATAAGTAAACAACGATTGACAATGTATTTAGATTTTTGAAGATCAGTTTTGACTGGAAAGCAAGAAGCCGGAAGAGAGTTTCACAAGCGGGAAGTGCGATAGAAGGAACTGTTAGCATAGACCTTACGGTTGCATCTAGCCATTTCAACGGTAAAATGTTGTGACCTAAGCGCCAATCTAGTACTGAGCTTAAATTCATAAAGTCTAGGTACAATAGAAAGAATGTTCACCAGAAAAATTACCATGAAAATATTTATAGAAAAGACAGAGGAAAGCTACGCTATGGCGATGGAAAAGTGACTGAAGCCGATATGCCAGATCAGGACCAATAAATTTGATGATTCTTCCTCTGGATTTTATGAAGAATTTCTCAATACATAGCAGAAGCGCCAGGCCATATATGGCAGTAGTACTCAAAGAAAGGTCGAATGGTAGACTTATAAATATGCAAGATAGATTCAGGCGATAAAAATTGACTTTGCAACGACACAAGGAATCAGCTTTCTTAGCATATCGCTGAATTTCTTCGCCTGATTGATTTTTTGTGTTACGGATGGGTAAGTGACAACTTTGATGTCAGTATGGCGTAGTATCACAATTATAGATCAACCTTAAATCGAACTCAAGCTAGTTGACTTAATATACGTGCGAACCCCGTCCTGGGTATGACGATAAACTACATTCGCGTCCTGGTTAAGACGATAAACTAAGTCCAGCAGCAAGGTCTCTGATCAGGAAGTTTTGAAGAGCGTGGAATCACCTCTTAATTGATGGTGTTCGCAGGTCCACCCAGAACCGGGGTGGTAGCACCTGTTAGAGCCCCAGCTATGGGCAAATAATTAAACCCGATATTGGGGTCAAAACACTATGAAAGTGTAAAAATAGGTTTTAATACCAGAAATACTTTATAAAAATTATTACCAGCTATACATTTTTGAGAAAATAAAATATAACAAGCGATAAAAATTTTGTCGGTCTTAAATAACCCATTGAGGTTGATATGCCGTAAAACAAACCAAACCAAACCAAACTATGTGCGAACCAATGCTCCCTGGCAAGGATTAATGACTGGGTGGTCAGGAAGTCATTTCGAGTTTCAGAAAATAAAGAGACTCAAAGGTTAACCTTTATTAAATCTGATTCGAATTGTTATGTGCGGCTCGATGAAAATTTATCATTCCAAAGTTGCAGCGAACTGTTTATATGAAGCAATCATGGAACTTTAGAAAAATCCAATGCTGCCGAATAATGGTGACGATCATTTGCGCATTTACTAAAGTCAGATCAAATTCTAAAAAAAATCCTTCACCCTTAAAAAACCCACGCAAAAAAACACTCTTACCGTTCGATCCGATATTCGGGCTTCTTTATGAAACATTTCGTAATCTTAAACGGTTTGCTTTTTTTTCTTTTGATTTATAAGAAAACGCAAACCTCTGTCTGCCTTTTTAAATTAAAAAAAAATGGTTAGAATGTTCGCTTTTAAAACATAATGTCTGGGTTCAAACCACACCATTGTCGATTTATCAGGAAAGTGAGCTCCTGATATTATCATCCTTAGGAGGCGATCCCAGTGTAGGGCACGTTTGGAAATTGTCTGAAATCCATACCACATGTTGATCCAAGCCTTGCAAGTGAAACTGTGCAGACAGAACATCCGTCGGTGGATGAGCAAACACGATGCCACAGGTCATCGTGACCGAGGCTTTTAGTGTACTTGCCTTGTTCAGACTGTTGATCACGCCACGAAACTGTATCTAACGTCGCTCAGCATAGTTGCAATATAAAACACAGGTTGGCTCTGTGGGTCTTGAGCAAACAAAAATGTGCCTGAGCAGACGTCTGCAATAAGGAGTGAGTAGCCGCCCTAGAAGACAGGCATACGCGGACACGACGCGGTCAGCCACACAGTGCAAAACTTCGACAGTTTTTTCAGTTTAGTATTAGGTTGGTGCAAAAATAATGACGTAATAATGTCGTTTTTGAGCTTAAAAAATACGTCAAAAAGCGACATTATTACGTCATTATTTTTGCACCAACCTAATAGAAATAGAACTAATTTCTACCATTTTGAAACTGAAGATATGCTTCATATTTTTAGTTTCGTATAAAATCTTAAATGTGTCAGAATTTCTTTTTACTCAAGTGTGAATCGGACCCGTGTTGACATTTTGGTTACTAGTTCGAACTAGATATACTCCCTTATGAAAATTAATTAAACCGGAAGATGTGGAGGGCCATGATCACCTACACCCTTGTGAAAATTAACTGACACAAAACGAATAATTCCGTCATTATTTACATTTTTTCGTATTTTTCGAAATGAAACATGACTTAGTGCATATGTTAGTACTTCGTATGTGCATTCCACGAAGACTTTCCTTGCAAACTGACCACAGATTCTTGATTGGATTTAAATCAGGAGAGTTTCCGGTCCAGTATATAGTACTTTGATTTGCTCATTGGTTAAGGCTTGCCAGTGTGTTCGTACAGCGTTACAATTTTCGTACGTTTCCGTGGAATCCATCGCAGACAATGCCCGTAGGACAACTAATCGACAGTCGAGACAATAGTGTCTGGGCGGGATAAAAATCTGATGTAATCACGGATGACGCAATATTTTTCAAGGCCAAACAAATTTCACTATACGCCTTGTAAATAGATTCATATTACTGCACATCACTGCAAATGGCTTAATCTGAGAAAAAAAAAAGGAACTCGATTGCACCCTGTCATTCTAGTGGGTCTAAAACTGACCTTATAGTGAATGAAAGGAAACTAAAGAGGTTTTTTTTAAAGAATTTGCATGAGGTTGTATGTTGTACTTTTATCTTAAATGTACTATTTTTTTAAACTCTAAATGGGGCAAATGTCTGCCTTTTTTTAAGTTGTTTTACCTTTTGGGAATCATGTCTATCCACCTATTAATTCACTGATATATTATTTGTAGTCGAAAGCTTATGTCTAACATTAAACAACCCAGGAACAATTGATAAACACTGAAATTAAGCAACCTAACCGCTTTCTCTACGACTGGCACATTTATTAGTAAGGCGGCTTTTGAAATACCGCATTAAGTATTAAGACACCACTTAAAGAAATAGCCGTTATCTTCCACATATATCCGCATAAATTGTGCTTCTTACCCTGTAAGTTTCTATCTTGAGTGGGCAGAGTAAACCACATTGTAAAAAAAAAAAATTAAATAAATGCAACTTTTCGAAATGTAGATATATCGGCTCATTTATTGATATTATTAATTCGTTGCCATACAGAGATGCGATCCTGGTCAAGACATTTTTTTACGTTTGGGAATCAGCGTGAAATTGCAGATGAAAAATTCAATTGGCATTTGCTTTTAACGGAATGGTAAGTTAATTTCAGGCAAAATGATCTCAAAGAAATCGGCATTAGTTTATTTTACTTTGTATCGTCATATTATTAAAGAAGACTGTCAGAAGAAACAAAGTAAATGGTGACAGGCAAGCAAGAACAGTTTAGACACGTTTTGATTTGCTCGTGTTCTTAGTGTTTAGACTCGTAGGAATTATTGCATGGAACCATTTTCATGAAGTTGGACGGTTGCCGTTAATAAATAGACAATATTTTTTGTGTTATCTAGAACCGAACATTGTGTGCTGGCATCGAAATTAATCTTTAGTGAAATCAATTTTTTTTTTTTTGCTTTTATTTTTGTCTTTCTTTCATGCAAAAAAATATAACGAATTTTTTTATTTATATTTTTTGCACTATAAATCAATGTTCTGATCTGAATTGTGTATTTTGCATTCTTTTAAGAATCTCTTTTACGCAAAATTGGAAAACAGAGATTCTATTTACGAACAAAATATATTTCTGAGTGGCTGGGAAATTTTGGCTGTGGTTCCATTCTGCAAGTGCTTCTTTAAGTTATACATTTTTTTTTTGGTCTTAGATTGGCACTAGAATTCTAAAGATGGAAAATCTGGCGGGATTTGCTGTTGGATTCTGTTGTCAGGTAATTGGCAAGAAGAGAAACAAGAGGAGGCCAAGAGACAAAAGATTACTGAACTAACGTTTAGTAGATGTAATTCTTTGCCAAGGAAGACACACACAGACAAGAAAAAAAAACACAACTCAGCTGAACATAGAAAACAATAAAAACGCATCAATGTGTATATAAGTCAGTTATGTATATATACACTCAAGCATATACTATCCAAGAACTATGAAGTTCTAAAAGATATATATATATATATATATATATGTATGTATGTATGTATGTATGTATGTATAGAGATAGATAAAGATAGATAGATAGATACGAACCGAATTATATATATATATATAGATAGATAGATATAGTATATATGTTATAACATAGATAGATAGATAGATAGATAGATAGATAGATATGAGAAATTCTCTCATATATAAATAAAAGTCTCAGAGCAGTGTATATATATATATATATATATATATATATATATATGAAAAAATAAATAGGTAAATAGATATATATGGACAGTATTATATATATATATATATATATATATATATATATATATATATATATATATATATATATATAGATAGATAGATAGATAGATAGATAGATAGATAGATAGATAGATAGAATAGGAAAATTCTCATATAGATATATAAAATTATCAGAGGAATATATATATATATATATATATATATATATATATATATATATATATACATACAGTTAGATAGATAGAGAGAGGTGATATATATCAATAGAAGAATATATATATATATATATATATGTGCATATATATATATATATATATATATATATATATATAAATGACATATATATATATATATATATATATATATGTATATATATATATATATATATAGAGAGAGAGAGATTTACATATGAAGAATAAGATAGATAAATAGATATGGAAAATTCTATAATAGATGGATAGATAAAATACTTTTGTCATATATGTATATATATATATATATATATATATATATATATAGAGAGAGAGAGAGAGACAGAGACAGACAGACAGACAGACAAACAGACAGACAGACAGAGACAGACAGGCAGAGAGAGAGAGAGAGACAGAGACAGAGAAAGAAAGGAAATATGGCTAGGAAATCACACACAAACAAGGAAAATAACTTGGTTGACCAAATAAAACAATATAAATTTATGAGTGTGCATATAAGTCAATAATGTACATATAAATTCAAACATAAACAATATTTACATGAAATATGAAGATCTTGTATATATATATATATATATATATATATATATATATATATATATAAAAATGACGAATGAATATATATAGAAAGGCGCAATCATCATCCATGACGGGTCGTGGTGGAAGTGTCGCTGCGCAGCTGTGTACCTGATCCTTTTCCTCCACATATCTTCATTGAAAGACAGGGAGGTATTCAATCATACGTAGTCTGTCTTTGGAAAACAAACCTTGTGGACCCCTACCCTTACGGGTTAAATCAAAGCAGATGTCCTTCAACTTATAAGCAAACATAGATCCACGCAGATAGATAGATAGATAGATAGATAGATAGATATGAATAGAATGAGATAGATAGATAGATAGATAGATAGATAGATAGATAGATAGATAGATAGATAGATATTACTAACTTCATAAAAAACATTTGCTACATCGGCAGCTCCATATCTGTTTTTTTTTTTTTTTTTTTTATATCTATCGTTATAATGTAATTTTACTCTAGTTTGAACTGCTTGTATTCCTGAAACTTAAATAAAGAATTAACACGTGACTTAATTTTTTAGTCCCAATTTGAAAAATCTTGAAAATTGAACGCAGGCTGTTGACAATAATCAGGAGCTGATGGTGTCCAACCGAGTTGAAATTCGTATTCAGTGCACTCAGATTACCTAGATTCAAGCGGCAGATATCATTCAATAAAATGTATGTTCCCCAATGCTATCATCAAGGCTTATTGATTATATTTAGTGTTTAACAAAGTTTATTAAAGAAACATAAGCCTGTTAGAAAATGGCAGATATTTGGAGAGATGCAAGCAACTACCGCTTTTTTGCTATCAATAAGAAAACGTATCAAATCTACTGAAAGGGTTTATGGTCATAGTTCAACTTAAAAATAACTTTCTCAACACACATCAGCACTCATATAATCTCACTTGTCCTAAAATTTACAGACAATCTAAATTTTGTAAATATTTTAAGATGGGTTTAAAACTGAACATTTTAAATAAATTCGCCGGGTTAGTTGTGTATATACTTATACCATGTCTGTGAACAAAACTCTACGAAAATTCTTTTGAAGAAGATTATCAGTATATTTCTTTAAGGTGGGATAGAGATATACTTAACATATCTTGTGACAGAAGGCCTAAAGTATGAGTCACCCAGTGAGGATCGTACTCACTATTCAGTAATAATTGTGAGACAAGCTTGTTTACCATTACAACACGCCGAGGAGCCTATGGTGATTTTCTAAGCTTAGCTTAGGCGGACCACAAGGCCAAGTATATGAGTCACCCAGTGAGGATCGAACTCACTATCCAGTAATAATTGTCCTAGTGAGATAAGCTTGTTAACCATTACAATACGCCGAGGAGCCTAAGATGATTTTCTAAGCTTAGCTTAGGCTGGTCACAAGGCCAAATGTATGAGTCACCGAGTGAGGATTGAACTCACTATTCAGTCGTAACTGATCTAACGAGACAAACTTGTTAACCATTACACCACGCCGAGAAGCCTATGTTGATTTCTAAGCTTAGCTTAGACGCGCCACAAGGCCGAATGTATGAGGTGCCCCGAGAGGATCGAACAATATTAAGTCGTAATTGTCCTAGTGAGACAAGCTTGTTAGCCATTACACCATACCGAGGAGCCTAAGGTGAGTTCTAAGCTTAGGTTAGACATGGCACAAAGCCGAAAATATGAGTCACCCTGTGAGGATCGAACTCAATATTAAGTCGTAACTGATATAGCGAGACAAGCTTGCTAAACATTACCCCACAATGAAGCACCCAAAACGTATTGCTAAGCGTAGCTTAGGTACGGCACAAGGTCACAATTATGTGGCACTCAGTAAGGATCAAACTCACTATTCAGCCGTAATTGATCTAGCGAGAAAAGTTTGCTATTACACGTCATCAAGAGGCCCTTTTAAGGTGAGATAACACATACTCTAAAGTCAGTTGAAAATAATCCCCTGCCATCAAAATTCGACCTCAAGAGGACAAAATCTGACTATCTAACACGACAATAGCGTTACAATCACTTCCATTATAGCCCACAAGCCAATCCCCATATCTAAACAGGTATTTAACAGTAAATTATATAAAGGCTCCATGCGTGTGCATGCATATATTATAGTCGTTTTAAGGCTAAAAGAAAAAAAAATGTATTTTGTCCCTTATCTGCCTTTTTTTTCCCCATGTCTTAGTGTCCGCCATCTTTTTTTTTACATGCCCCTCAATATATAATGACCGGCAACCGGTTTCCCCTTTCAAAGCCACCTGCTAGTGAGGCTAGCCAATCCCTCATCACTGACACCCTTTCAGGCACGTTTGTGCTTCTCCAACGCCTACACAGTTAACCTGCAGCTTATACTGCAGCTATATTCAGCAGACCTTAGAAACAGTTTCTGTCAGAAAGTGAATAATCTAGCGTAATCAGGACAAGGCTCGGACGCTCAAACCTTCGGTCACAACGGCTTGTAACCTGGTTCTCCTACAACTATCGACGTCTTGCGAAAACTTTCATTTACCCAGATACACTCACAATGCACTTTTCAAACGTTTCACAATACAGGATACATACATATATATACATGTATATATATATATATATATACATGCATACATATATATATATATATATATATATATATATATATATATATTTATATATATATATATATATATATATATATATATATGTGTGTGTGTGTGTGTGTGTGTAAAAATTTAGATATAAATAAAAAATATCTGTAAAAAGATTATATAAATATGGACAAAAGGAAAGCTTTTGTCTACTAACGCGTTTCGTCCTCTGATTGAGTTTATGTAAGGATTTTAAAACATATGTAAATAAATAAATATTAAACAAAATCAATAACAATATTTATTCAATTTCGTTTATTAGGCATGAAATTGTATCACTTACTATCCTCCATAGCTTACCGTTACTTACAATTAGCCTTAAGAATATGTTTGAGTGTCATAAATTTCATAATTTTGAAAACACCAATATTTTAATACGTTGAAAAATAAATAAATAAAAAATAATATTAATAATAATAATAATAATAATCAAAGCTAATCGCCTAGACATCGTAATTAGAGACTGCAAGTACAAAAATTGCCTCTTTGTTAATATGGTAGCCCCTGCAGACTACAATTGATCTTTGAAGATCTTCAAAAAGTTATCAAAACACAAGTATCTTGAAATCGAAATCTCAAAAATGTGGCACATGGGAACATCAGCAATCCCTGTTGTAGCTGTAGCCCTCGGATTGGTTGGAAAAGATTCCTATAGACACATTGAAGGGATTCCTAGTAGTCCATGCCGTAAAGAAATACAAAAAAATTGTTCTCACGAGTACAGCCCACACCTTACGAAGGGCTTTAACTATGTAAAATATGTTTGTGTTTTTTATTGTTTTCTTTTAAATTTCTCAGTGGATAATGCCATGAAGCCATTTCTGAACTTATGTCTCTGGTTAACACCCAGAAAGAAATGAGTACCCACCAGAAATCAAAGGAAAGAAAATAATAATAATAATAATAATTTATAAAACTGTTTTCCATCGTCATGATGTGGTTTGCTAAAAGCGAACCACATTTAAATAAGCAGGTTAAATCCTTATATTATTTACATTATTCAGACTGTTATCCTCATCTTTATTGCCATATTCACAACGTTTCGGCCGTTGTACGCTTTGGCCTTCTTCAGTTGATTGGATCTCTGAAATGAGGTATCATAATTAATTGCATTATTTACATTATTCGGATTGTTATCCCCATCTTCATTGCCATATTCATAACGTTTCGGCTGTTGTACGCTTTGGCCTTCTTCAGTTGATTGGATCTCTGAAATGAGGTATCATAATTAATTGCATTATTTACATTATTCGGACTGTTATCCTCATCTTCATTGCCATATTCCCAACGTTTCGGCAATTGTACGTTTTGGCCTTCTTCAGTTGATTGAATCTCTGAAATGAGGTATCATAATTAATTGCATTATTTAGATTCTTCTGACTGTTATCCTCATCTTCATTGCCATATTCACAACGTTTCGGCCGTTGTACGCTTTGGCCTTCTTCAGGTGATTGGATCTCTGATATGAGGTATTATGATTACTTGCATTATTTACATTATTCGGATTGTTATCCCCATCTTCATTGCCATATTCATAACGTTTCGGCTGTTGTACGCTTTGGCCTTCTTCAGTTGATTGGATCTCTGAAATGAGGTATCATAATTAATTGCATTATTTACATTATTCGGACTGTTATCCTCATCTTCATTGCCATATTCCCAACGTTTCACGTTTTGGCCTTCTTCAGTTGATTGAATCTCTGAAATGAGGTATCATAATTAATTGCATTATTTAGATTCTTCTGACTGTTATCCTCATCTTCATTGCCATATTCACAACGTTTCGGCCGTTGTACGCTTTGGCCTTCTTCAGGTGATTGGATCTCTGATATGAGGTATTATGATTACTTGCATTATTTAGATTCTTCTGACTGTTATCCTCATCTTCATTGCCATATTCACAACGTTTCGGCCGTTGTACGCTTTGGCCTTCTTCAGGTGATTGGATCTCTGAAATGAGGTATCATAATTAATTGCATTATTTACATTATTCGGACTGTTATCCTCCTCTTCATTGCCATATTCACAACGTTTCGGCCATTTACCCTCTGTCCAAATATGGCAACAATACCTATTTTCGGTCTGATCTTACTCTTATAAAAGTAGAGAAGAGCATGAGGGGGTCAGGTACTTACTGAAGCGGAAGAGGGAGCCGATCAAATTACCTGCATTACCTCACGGTTGATCGTATACAGGAATTCCACTTGAGGTCGGTTGTGAGATTGAGGCACAATGTCCTTTCGGGGCACGCGTCTTCCTCGAGGGGACATCTATTCATCGTGACTGGTGATAGTGCTGGGTCTGATCGGCGGTGATGGAATGTAACCCCATAATCAAACTCATTTGCATAATGTATAAGACATAGGTATACATATTTTTGTATATTTTTATCTGTGTATTTTAATTAATTAAGTCTAACAATGCTCAAAAGCTATAAGACTTGGTTACTAAAATTATTTCAGGGTTGCTAAATGGTGCTTTTTTAAATCATTTAACCCCAAGCAAGGCAATAAAGTCACCAAGGCGCAAGTGGTTACTGAGTTTTAGTGGATATGAGAAAAGCTACTATTAAAGGGAGAGAACAGTGAAAGAACAGGAATTAAGAAGACAGAAGATAATGATTGACACTGCAGTTAAATCTATGAAGACCAAAGCCAATAAATCCACTAGCATGCAAGAGGTTACTGAGTGTTAGAGAATATGAGAAAAACTATTATTAAGGAGAGAGGACAATAGAAGAATAAGAATTAAGAAGACAGAAGATAACGATTGACATT